ATATATATATATATATACCTTTTTCGATATTAAAAAAGTAAGTGTTTGGAGCAAAGTAGAGTAACTTTTACTTTATCAAAGTAAAGAGTATATATATATATGGATTTATTTTATATTCACCGACATGTAAAAATCTTTTACACATAAATCACGTATAATTTTATCTCTTATAGTAGATTATTTAACTTGTCTTATTTTTCGAGCTAGTTGACTAATTTCATTGATTATAAGTTATATTGTGTAATTTCTTTTGCACGGTGAGTATATAGAAGTGTGACACTATATGATTTACATCTTAAACAAATGCTATACAATTAATACTTGCACCTAATTCTAACAAGATTGTACGTACCCCTCCCCTAAACCCTCAAAACCAACTGTCAGACCCCCTCATGTCTATATATAGTTACAAAGATGGTCTACAAAAAGTCCATTGTAACAAACATTCCTAATGATTTCTTCATCACATGCAAATGCAACAATGCATGATGAAACACAAAATGAAGAAACAACATCTCTTGTCTTTGATGCACTTTTCCTTCAAAACAATTCAAACATTCCTCAACAATTCATATGGCCGGAAGGTGAAAAGCCATGCACTGAGCCACCACCTCCATTACATGTCCCTCCAATTGACTTGAATGACTACCTCTCCGGCGACCCCCTAGCCGTCTCCAACGCCACTCGCCTTGTCAATCAAGCATGTCGAAAGCATGGTTTCTTCCTCGTCGTTAACCATGGTATAGATTCGAAGCTCATAAATGAAGCTCACAAGAATATGGATTTTTTCTTTGAAAAACCTCTTGTGGAGAAAGAAAGAGCCAAGAGAAAGCTTGGTGATTATTGTGGTTATGCTAGTAGCTTTACTAGTAGGTTCTCTTGCAATCTTCCTTGGAAAGAAACACTTTCTTTTCGATATTCTGCTGAGGTTCCTTCTTCAGAGCATATAGTCCAAAGCTACATCTTGAATGTCATGGGCCAAGAATACACTCATTTTGGGTAAGATTTAGTGCAATATATTAGCCAAAATGGTTGTATTTGGCATAATTCTTAGAACATAGCACTATCTCAAAATTTAACTAAGTTTTAACGATATTTTACACGACTACCGTCACTAGGTAGGGATAAAGTCTGCGTACACTTTACCCATCCCAGATCCCACTTGTAGGATTTCGCTGGGCTTGTTATTGTTGTTGTTAACGATATTTTACACTTATCATTTTTACTAGATCACCATGCATTATGCATGTCGTGTATGGTGCGATACAAACTTGTGCTATCAGTGTCAGGGAATAGGACAAAAGGTCTAATAATTATTGTTTTATACATACGTAAATATATGACACTGTACACCTTCAACTTTTAGTGAAATCTATTTTTGGTTCCTAAGTTTGGACTAACTAGTGTTTGCTTACTATATGTTTGTTATATTTGTAGGAATGTGTACCAAAAATACTGTGAAGAAATGAGCAAGCTTTCCCTTAAAGTAATGGAGCTTTTAGGGGAAAGCCTAGGAGTGGGAAGAGCATATTTTAGAGAATTTTTTGAAGGGAATGATTCAATAATGAGATTGAACTATTACCCTCCTTGCCAAAAACCTGATTTGACTCTAGGGACAGGACCTCACTGTGATCCTACATCCTTAACCATCCTTCACCAAGATAATGTTGGTGGCCTTGAAGTCTTTGTGGATGAAAAATGGCACTCTATTCCTCCCAATACTAATGCTTTTGTGGTCAACATTGGTGATACATTCATGGTAAGTCCGATTCTTTATTTCCTAACTATAAACAAAAATCAAAGTCTTGGAAAATAATAAATAATGGATTTAACTTTTTTACGCTGTCAGTATATATAAAGAACGTTGACGTATTTTAACTTGTTACGGCAAGTAATAACTTATCTTATTGTCTAGGTTACGAATATAGTACTAGTACTTTTTTTATGGGCGGTTTCCTATATTTATTTTTTAGTTGACTTGATAGCGTAAATATTCTTTTATATTGTGAGCGTTAGAAGTTTAACTCATAAATAAATAAAAGGGTATAGGGAGGATCGTTATTGTTCTCACAACCACACAACAACACAATGTTTAACTCAAAAACCTTGACCAAACAAGCATGAAAGTACAATTAACTTATGGTCCCAAAAGACCAACATGAGAGACAAATGCATGGAAATGTGACCCGCCCTCGCAATTAATTGTCCACTATACATTTGTCCCATCAGTAGATAACACGACATGGTTAAGCGATTATAACATACAATGTGATGTAAAATGTCGTCTTATTTCAACACATATAGGGTATTTACATTTTGAACGCCCTTTGCCAGCGGGCTCTGCAAGGGTGTTCAAAATCTATTTTTTAATCAATAATAAGTAAAAAAATTATCTTATACATAGTATAATTTTTCTGCTTAGAGTGTTAGTAGACCATCTTGACCATACATAGCTTCGCCCCTGCATGAGGGTGAAAGCTAGCATTAATGGAAAGATCTTTTCTTCGATCTGCCTTGCCTAGAGCGAATAAAAAAGCCTCTTGGCCGGCCAGCCAGCCTCAGATTCTGGGGCGAAATCTACTTTGTAATTTGATGATAATGCATGCATGAGATTGAACTAATGAAGTTTTATTGGAATGTTGATTTTATGTCAGGTAATGTCAAATGGGACATACAAGAGTTGCTTGCACAGAGCAGTAGTAAACAGTAGAAGACCAAGGAAGTCTTTGGCATTTTTCCTATGTCCAAAGAAGGACAAGATAGTAAGCCCACCAAAAGAGTTGATTACTAGGAATGTACCAAGGAAGTTCCCTGATTTCACATGGCCGGTTTTTCTTGAATTCACTCAGAAACATTACAGAGCTGACAAAAAAACTCTTGATGCTTTTGTGCATTGGCTTCTTCACAAAGGCTACTAGCTCAGATATATATTTACAACTACATATCAATATGTCCTTTCTTCCTTTTTATTTCTATTTGTACTACGTACTAAGGTTTAAAGGAAAGGAGCCAGAGAAAAAGAGCAAATAGCTGTCTAAAGAGAATATTTTTGTGATATATACCTGTGAACTAGAGCAGCTTGCTTCTAGAGATTATATAAGATTATCAACTTATATATATAATATGGCTTTTCTATCTTTTTCTTTGTCTCTCTTTGGTCTTTGGTTGAGTATGCCAGATTTGATGTCAAGACATCCAACTTTTTATGATATGAAAAGGCAGGACGGTTGATCATTTTGAGTTATACATCATAAATAGTCACTATAGGACTACGTTCAAAAATGTTACATGGCTGCTAATCTTAAAAATATGGCTAAAAGGTTTTCAAATCAGTTTCATTTCCTATGAAAATTGGTTATTTTTGCCGTCCAGGTGGGGGAGGGGAGAGGGACTGCAAACACTCATCGTATGATCATATCCTCCAATAATTTTCCCATAGTTCTGATGTGGAATATAGTTACCTGCACTCAATGTTTCATACTATTAGAGGCGAGATTACATATTAAAGTATCATGATTAAGTGACAAAAGTTTATGTGAACGACAAATGTCATGCCTGTGTTGGTTTTGCGTAAACATAGTAAGTTTTTTGTGTCCTAAAAATATTAGAAACACAAATGCTTTAGGAGTTCTTCACTTTCTATCCGTTCATGGACACTTTATGTCTAAAGTGTAACCTTTTCTAGCCCCTCCTGATCCAAGTCTTTTGCCCTTGTACCACGTCATCCAACAACTCCCATTCTCATGACCCCTTGGAC